GTTCAAGGAGGCAAGGTGACAGTGTAATGACTCCCAGGTCACGTCAACGTCTGTGGCAATGAGAAAGTGGACACTCTTGCGAAAATCGGGGCTGCCCAGCCTCAGCCAGAAGTGACAATAACTTATTTGGGAATAAAGACTTGGCTGGCGGACCATTTCAGGGCAAAGATGTTTCCTCTGCATGTCTACACAAGTATAAGATTTTTACTCTGTAGGTCAACACAAGTACAAGATGTTTCCTCTGTAGGTCTACACAAGTATAAGATGTTTCCTCTGTAGGTCTACACAAGTATAAGATGTTTCCTGAGTTATAGGTCTACACAAGTACAAGATGTTTCCTGAGTTATAGGTCTACACAAGTACAAGATGTTTCCTGAGTTATAGGTCTACACAAGTACAAGATGTTTCCTCTGTAGGTCTACACAAGTATAAGATGTTTCCTCTGCATGTCTACACAAGTACAAGATGTTTCCTCTGTAGGTCTACACAAGTATAAGATGTTTCCTCTGTAGGTCTACACAAGTATAAGATGTTTCCTCTGCATGTCTACACAAGTACAAGATGTTTCCTCTGTAGGTCTACACAAGTATAAGATGTTTCCTCTGTAGGTCTACACAAGAATAAGATGTTTCCTGAGTTATAGGTCTACACAAGTACAAGATGTTTCCTGAGTTATAGGTCTACACAAGTACAAGATGTTTCCTCTGTAGGTCTACACAAGTATAAGATGTTTCCTCTGTAGGTCTACACAATTATAAGATGTTTCATCTGTAGGTCTACACAAGAATAAGATGTTTCCTCTGTAGGTCTACACAAGTATAAGATGTTTCCTGAGTTATAGGTCTACATAAGTACAAATGTTTCCCTTGTAGGTCAACACAAGTATAAGATGTTTCCTCAGTTACAGGTCTACACAAGTATAAGATGTTTCCTCTGTAGGTCTACACAAGTATAAGATGTTTCCTCTGTAGGTCTACACAATTATAAGATGTTTCATCTGTAGGTCTACACAAGAATAAGATGTTTCCTCTGTAGGTCTACACAATTATAAGATGTTTCATCTGTAGGTCTACACAAGAATAAGATGTTTCCTCTGTAGGTCTACACAAGTATAAGATGTTTTCTCTGTAGATCCACAAAAGTACAAGATGTTTCCTCTGTAGGTCCACACAAGTACAAGATGTTTTCTCTGTAGCACTACGCAAAAACAAGACGTTTCCTCTGTTCATATTCAAAATTGTTGGTTTGAAAAGAACAATTGTTATTATTCCAGGAAGTATTTGACTCGTATTGAATGTACAGGTAAAATCATTCAAAGGTCACATGTTATCTCATGCCTTTTTTTTTTTTTTTTTTTTTTTTTTTTTTTTTTTTTTTGGTGTCGTATCGAGGAAGTACAAAGTGAAACTGTCACAATGTTGTTACTATATCATTACAAGCGGGGCCGGACGTAGACTTGTCGAGGCCCTAAGCTATAGAAAGTCTAGAGCCCCCTCTACCGTTTTAAATTACATCAATGGGTCAAAGAAAAATTTGAAATATACAGCCGTCAGATTGTACGGCATTAAGCTGTAGCTTATTTAGCGTGTAGGCCGGCACCGACTACACGACTGAAGGGGATACTACTAATTTCCAGCTTTCCAAGACTTTAAGGCCTACGGTTAGACACGGTTTGGTCAGTTGTTACCTACGGTTAGACACGGTTTGGTCCGTTGTTGCCTACGGTTAGACAAGGTTTGGTAAGTTGTTGTACTTTAAAATATTATTTTTATCCAAATTAATTTTGCCATCCTCACTCACTTAATTTATGTTCAAGTTCAGTTTGATGACGTTTCTCGTGAAAAACATCCAAGCTCCGCTCCGATTTAACTCTTCGAAAGATCTCTGCACAAATGTCTTTTTGAAAATCCTCCCTTTATATTTAATAGCGCGACTTTTATATTCTTTCTATCAATTTGCAAAACCCCCCCCCCCCACCCCCCACCCCAAAAA